GGAAGATTTTAACAAATGGAAAACATTAGTTTTCACTGAGGCAAGGTCCCACTCCTCCAGCATTAAGAATGCCCTTCAGGAGCGATGGAGGAACCTAAGTGTCTCTGACACATCTTTCTCCACCTCACCCCTGCTTAGGAAGTTATGAACAGCAGTTTGTGATCTTCCTGTGGCAGGACTGTGACAGTTTCAGTCAGAGAATAAAGAAGAGTATTGCAAAAACCACCCGGTGTGAAGGTGCCATTGGGATTCCTTTGGACTAGCAGAAATCACAACAGAAGCAGCAACATTATTGAGCAAGATGAGAGAATGAAGAAAAAGTCCTGTGAATTTTCTGGTCAGTTTAGAGTTAAAGAGAGAAACTGGTCCAAAGCCATAGCCAACCAAAAGAAAAAAATTCTATAATTTCATGCAAATTTAATAAGCGTATGCTCCAGACTACTTCATACCATATCTTGAATTATGTAAACTGTGCCTCATTCAACTTACAGTTCTGCCTTCGGCTACACAGCCCCATTCTCGGAGGCTTATACGCAGGAATGGAAAAGAAAGAAACTTTATTGTCTGAGGAAGGCCAGGAGCCAAGTAACGAGATGTCCGTTATGAGAAAAAGGGGGGAAAAAGAAAAGAAAATGTCTGGCACCCTCCTAAGAATGAAGCCAGCAATCACAGAGCGACCTCATCCATACAATACCCCACACAATGATCATTTTACAAGGGGCAACCTGTGCTTTTTATATAAAAAGCACTGCAGCTCAGTTCAGAGAGCTCCAGCCAAGAGGATGCAGAAAAACACCCTCTCTCAAGCCAGTCCCCAGGAAAAGGAAGAGTTTGCTGCGCGGAGGAGCCGCAGAGAGCTGAGTAACACCTGCCTCCTCTCCACAAACCCCTCGGCTCCAGCCCTGCACAACGTACAGCAAAGAACCCAACTCCCAGGCTCTGCTGATAAATGGATGTAAACTGGGCCTTAAGTAACAGTAACTTCTGCTCATAAAAATCCCCAGGAGCTACTGCATCTCCATAAACCGTCTCACTGCAGCAGCACACAGAATTCGCAGCCCATTATTCCTATTTTCAAGCAAAGCCTGTTGACTTGTAAGCTAAGGAAAATTCCTGCCTTTTGAATGGCGTAACATGCAACACTGCCAAGAAAACTAAATTTGCATCCAAACAACAGGGAAAATATTTGCTACTTGCTGCCAGCACAAGCCAACCAGTGCTCTCGCTGGTCCAACATCACACCTAGCACAGGCAGCGTCCTGCAGCGGGTGACAAATGAAGAGCAGAAGCAGAGAAATACCACCTCCATGTGATCGATTTCTTATCTAAATACTTTAAATACAGAGCATGTGAAGAATCTCCAATAGAAATTTGAAGTATTTTATTTGGGGCAATTAAAGTGATATAATATGCTGTCTCAGCTAAAGGCTCTCCTTTTCCATGGAGCTCTCCTGGCACTGCCTGCCCAAATCCATAATCCAGGCCCCGTAACCAGTAAACCCCAGTCCCACCCAGTCCCACCAGTGATCCCCGAATCCCTTGAGCTGTGAGTTCCCCAAAGGCCAGGGCAGTGGTGCCAGGGCAGGGTCCCCCCTCCAATCTGACTGCCAACTATGGGGTCTGCTGCTCTTAACTTTCACTACCTTTTCCTCCTTTCACTCTCAGCTGCTTAAGCAACCCCTTTTATCCCCTGGAATTGAGCCTGCTTTCCAGATTACCCTCACATTTAACCCCTCCTGTGCCCAGGGAAACTAAAAATCCACGACCCAAGGTATTATTAGAGAAATTGGTTTTTTGTGGGTTTTGTTTTTTTTTTATTTCCACTTTTTCACTAGCACCTAAGTTATCTTTGCACCAACTGGCAATAACTCTTGCTTGTTCAGAGAATTCTGTACAAAGCCAGTCAAAGCCTACAGCTTTGTCATCTCCTACTCTCTACCCCCAGTCAAATTTTCATTTGAGAATTGCAATGAAATGACTGAATATTGTTTAACTGCAGTATTTTGCAGATGAAACAATGGCTGAAGTGTTTTTCACTCCCGCAGCACACAAATTTATGTAGCTACACAACAATAAAGCAAAGTCTTCAATTTAATCAGAACAAATACTTCAAGCAATGGCAAGCTGATAAATTATTTACAGAGGGGCTCAATAAGACCTGGAAGGAAATATGCATCAGCTGTGCTGCCTGGGAGCTTCCAGAAACAAAGAATTTTCATGCTTACCCGTTTTAAAGCTTTTTCACTTTGTGTTTAACAAAACCAGACACCGATTGGAACAACATCCCACAATTATAAGCAGACGAGGGCTGTGCTGGGAGTGATGTCCCAGGACTTTTCACCCAGCACTGATTGCTGACACGACCCATTTACCAGCAGTTCCCACCATTCCTGCATTCACAGTAAGACACCGACACAGGCATTTCCTGGGGTAAGGACCCACGCTGGCAGCCCAGCAACATTGGCTATTGCAAAAGATTTTAATGATTTGGTCCTTTTTTCAGACTGCCTACTTCTCCCCAACCTGTCTTCCTTCCATCAATTCCTCAACCATTCCAAAACACCGAGAAACAGACAAAACTAGATGTATTAGTATTTATATGAAAGGTCTAGGAAATTCAATAATGTTCCTATTGTTTTATTGCAGATGGCACATCAACTTCTCTTTATTACTGCAGAAAACTCAAGAGCCCTGTGGAGTGCAATAAATGGGTACGTGTTCAGCTTCGCAATGTTTCCGAGGGCTGTGATTTACCGGGGAGAACAGGCACCAACATCTGAGCTTGGGAATTGCCTCGTGTTTTGTGCAAACCCTACACAGCAGCGTGAGGTCAGCCCACGCAGGGTCCCTGCTGCTTCGCGATGCCTGTCCCTCATTCCTCAGCAATAAGGACTCTGTCATTAAAGAGTGGAGAAACAGGGTTGTTTCCACCTTTGCGTCAAGATGTTTTACTCTCCTGGTTGGTTTCAGATGCTATTTGAATTTTCTGCCAAGTTCTTGGGCTGCTAGAGAGAGATTTAAAAAAAAAAAAAAATTGTCCATGTAGCAAGAGGAAAAACACAAAGGTAAATTCTCCTGTCTTAAATATACACCATATATGTTTCAAGACAAGTCCTTCTTCTATAAAAAACACTTCAGAAAACAAGTGTACCCACTAAAAACAGTAAGTCTCTTTAAGGTCCCCTCCAACCCAAACAATTCTATGATTCGGCTTTTACTGAATGACAAACTCAGTTCTACTCAGTCAACCCTGAATAAGGGGGCAGGGAAGTATCAAACAAGAACAGGTACGACCTGTATTTACACCAAATTGCTCTGCATAAATTACTATTTCCACCAAGTTTGAGTTAGAAAGAGGAGGGACTCTCGCTGCACACAACAAAGCACTGCACCAGCCGCCTCTCACCACACACACCCCAGCCCTTTCTCCGGTGAAAAATATTCTCAGCAGTGTCTGGCAAAAGAAGTTTGTATTTCCTACTGCAAAGGTAATCTCTAACCACTTGTCCTTTATCTGGACATATGAGTCCTTCACAAAGGAATGGAAGACTTGGAGGAACACAAACCCCACGTTCTCTGTCTCCTTGTAGGAACAGGGATGTTCAGAGCTTCCAGACCCGAACAAAGCATCAGCAGTGACAATCTATCTTTATTGATTTTATAAATTATAGAGAAACAACTAAAAGAATGTAACCCATCACAGTTTAAATAGAAAGACTGATTAAAAATACCAAAGGGCACGGCTAACACAAAGGCCTTCCCAACCAGTCATCCTACACAGAGGATGGGAAAATACCAGTAGCGTTTCCAATTGCAGACCACACTCTTAAATCTGTACCAGACAACCCTAGAGACACTCAGTAGATTATTTATAAATTAAAAAAAGGTAGTGAGCAACCTTAGAAAATATAGCCCTGGTGCTGACAAAAATGTACATCATTATTATTACTGAAGGCAATCAAAAAAGAAGAGAAGAAACAAAGTCTCCTTAAAAAATGATGACTGGATCAGTAAGCACAGCACATCATAAGGAAAGAAAAAAAAACAAAACTAAAGCAAATCTACAGATAGGTTCATTCAGTGAAGTTACTATTTGTGTTTGGGTTATACATTACATGCTTATAATGATAAATTTATGATGTAGTAGTCAATAGTCCAGGTACTTTGAAGAGGAATATTTTGACCCAACCCACCTCGAGCGTACAGATATGGACATGAAGATACCGGGGAACAGCAGCAGGGAAGGTGAAGGTGATATCATAGTCTGGGGTTTGCATCTGTTTGGAAAACGCCGCAGACTTCAACTTTCATTCTTTAGCTCTTTCAGTAGTTTATTTCCTGAGACACATGAAACTATGGACATTGAAATACTCAGAAGCAAAACACTTCCCGGAGGTGAAAGTGAGATCTTACAAACCCGGCAATAAAGAGTGAGTTACTGCTGTCTGAAACATCCCCATTCAGAAACAGATACACACATTATACATCAGTTAGAATTAGCAGTTACCAAAGCTCTGAATTTGTTTTACAACAAACCCCAAAGCCTTCCTCAGCCACTAACCATACAACATCCATTTGTCCTGAAGCATAAAACCCGTCCTGATGAGTGCTGGGACACACAGTTTTGTACCAGCTGACGCCAAACATTTTTACAACAGAAAGAAACTATAAACTCAGAATGAAAAACTTCAGAACATCTCAAAAATACAACAAAGTCAGAACCTAAATTTAAAAAAAATCACTGTAGGACTTAGTACTTGAAACAAACACCCTGGAGACGATCAAAGCAAGCACAGGCCAGGAGGGGCAGGGGCTGAGGAGCTCAGGTTTGGCAGCTCACAGGAATTTACTGACACTGATGGATGAAGGAAGCAAGAAATGCTGCAAGAAAAACCACGCAACATCCCCGACACGTGTCTCAGCTTTCCATCCACGCTGGGTGTTACTGCTGAGGAGTATCACAGCCAGAGATGCTGAGGAGAAGCCCAAGGAACACTTACCCTTGGCTGCCAGTTCTCGTACTGCTTCTGTAGGTTTGCACCGATGGTCTCCAGAGCTTTCTGAGGGCCCATCGAGAGAGGGTCTAGGAAACAGAATACAAATGAGTACTTTTGACCACAAATGAATCACTCAGCTTGACGGGAGGCAGAAATTATTTCCATTTCAATGTTCATTCAAACCTTTAGCTGCTCCAAATTATGTTTCAGTAAAATCCAGACCTACAGCCTGGGAGACCAAAGTCTACACCGAAGCATGGACACCACCACGCTTTGGGACAGAAAGAAGCCAAGAGCTTTCCCCTCTTTCCCTCTCAGTGTTCTGCTTGCAACAAAGATTGGTTAACAGTACTTTAATGCAGCTTCCTTTCATGCATTCAGTTTCAAATTCATAAAGATTACATTCTTCCCAGAATTTACTTGGGTGCAATACCCCAAAATTATCCCCAAATTCTTCACTCAAGTACCATTCAATATTTCTCTCACTAAGTTCATAAATACAAATTTGTTTTAAAAGACAGGAGAGGCATAACGTTTGTTTCTTTTAATATTGAAAAAGGGTTTCTATAGTAAATAATGACAAAAATTTAAACAGGTTAAATATTTGATGATAAACATTTTTTCTTGATGAATGCAAAATCCTTCTTCATTTACTTCCATTGCTTACTGCTTCAGAGATTATACGCCACTTGTAATTTTAAAGTTAATTTTATCACTAGATAATTACCACCATTCATACATACCAATACAATTTCAGCTTATGTGCTTTATTCAAAACCCATGGCCATATAATTGACACTATTAACAAGTTTCAAATAAACTAGAAGTTAATATTGTGCAATTTAATATACTTTTTTTTAAAAGCATTTAACCAAATTAATGAAGTTATTTAAAAAATAAATCTTTACAAATATTCTACTTTGGACTGAAATTAAAAATACTTCTCATGCGCACTGACAGCAGAGGAATGTTGTTTGTGGACCCTTATTAGTGTTATTAACAATACCCTATATACAAAAATAAAGTAAGTGGTGCCGTTCCAAGAGCCAAACAATGGAAACAAATTATTTTTCTAAATATAGCTCATGGCACCGCAGTCACCACGGAAGCTTTCAGCCCGCCCTGGTCTATGTGTAAGAGCAGTGAAGGCCAAGAGACCATCACGGCGCGGAGCTCCCTGCGCCCTGAGCGGTGCCCGGCGGACTCTGCGTCGCAGACACCACCCACGGCTTCATCCAGGAGAAAAACAAACCACTTGAGATGTTCTGAGGATGCATCTGGAAGGGACAGTGAGAACTGCAGCCGGCTCCTTCCTGCTGTCACGGCCCTTTGTTCCCAGAGCTCACAACCCAGGGACCACAGTGCTTGCACCACAACCATTTCCACACCTCCTTGCACACCCAGCAAAGACATTGGGTTTCCACAAGACACCCCATGAGCTTCTCTACAAACCATCATACAGAAGAGGAAAAAACAGGATGTTTTGGCAATTACCTTTTTCAGAAATTTAAAGAAATGGTAATGAGTGCTTGTGTAGATATACACACTAAAAATTTAAAATAGGCATTCAAAATTCTTTGTCGATGATAATCACTAATAACTTTAATGACTCTGCAATGCTCCTCGTTCTCTTTGCTCTCTGCTCGTATATCAATGAGAAATGAGAGCTGTTCTCTCCACTGAATAGATGGATTTGTTAGTGCACGCTCATGGCTTTTTAACTGCTTTAAAGTCATCAGCATTTTTAGGTTAAAAAAAATGAGATGTTAAGATTCACAAAGCAGGTAAGGCAAGGTTAGAAATGAGACGTTCTAAAATTTTTTAAAAGAAATTCAGTTTGTGTGATGATTAATTTGCTTCTGCAGCCTGTCATAAACCCCGGAGTTGAGGATTACAGCGCTCTGCGTGTTACTCGCTGAAGACTGAACATTTTCAATTCCTAGATAAAGACCAAATCTCTCTCAGAAAGCTCTCTCACACACGGCATTTCCTTCTAATATTACTTCAGATTTGTCTCATCTTGATAATCAGACTTGAGCTCCAAAATCAAGGGAATTTTTCATTTCTTAACAAAAAAACCAGGAATTTAGTCCAATGCTGCATCAAAGTAGCAACCCATGTGGTGTAACTGCCAGCAAGATATTTTTGAGAATAATTCCAGATCTTCTGAACTCACAATCCCAATTAAAATAGCCCCAGAGCAGTCACCTCAACATGCAGTAAAGTCCATGCATTTTACAAAAAAAAAAGTTATTTCTCTATCGTACGATGCAGAGGAATTTGAAACCTTTGCAGAGCACAGTACTCTAAAAATGTTATTGCTCCAAGGTTATTTTTCTATCATATGATGCAGAGGAATTTGAAACCTTTGCAGATCACAGTACTCTAAAAATGTTATTGCTCCAAGATTTCCTGAGATATTTATAAATCTACAACAATTAAGAGAAAGCTATGTAGCTAATTAACAGCTTTTTTCCCTCCACGCTATCTCAATTTAGAACAAAGCAGGAGAGATGACCTATGGCAGCAGTTACTGCTGGACACTTAATTAATTCATGTAGACACAGGGAAATGAGATGCCAGATTTCCTTTTGTTCGCCCCAGCTTTAAGTCCAGGAAACACACAACTTTTAAGATCACTATATACACTGTAATTTGGTATTTATTAGACAGATTTCCTGAGATATTTATAAATCTACAACAATTAAGAGAAAGCTATGTAGCTAATTAACAGCTTTTTTCCCTCCACGCTATCTCAATTTAGAACAAAGCAGGAGAGATGACCTATGGCAGCAGTTACTGCTGGACACTTAATTAATTCATGTAGACACAGGGAAATGAGATGCCAGATTTCCTTTTGTTCACCCCAGTTTTAAGTCCAGGAAACACACAATTTTTAAGATCATTATATACACTGTAATTTGGTATTTATTAGACTGACAGAGCTTGGAAGTTCCCAGGACTTACCGATCCAACACTCCAGGCGGGCACAGGGAGTTGTTTTCACCACATCAGGAGGGTCCACGCCGACATTTAGGCACAGAACTAAGGCAACACTAACAGTCTTCATCTGCAAAGACACAAAATAAAATGCCTACTTAGTGTAGGAAAAAAAAAAAAAAATCAACTCTCACTTCTGTTGGAATTTTACCACTGCTATAACTTTTGAAGGGTTTCAACAACGCTTTGTTATCTCCTCTTTAGCACAGACTATTTTAAGCAAGGAATGACTGATTAAATTTTTCATTAATTTTTTTTTAAATAGAACAGTACTTAGATTTTACGTTACTATTTTTATTATTATTTCCAGAGCCCATTCTTCTTTTATAGAGCGTGGAAATGGATATCACTGGACTTCTGCTACCCATTTTAAATTAGTCACTGTCCAACTGAAACACATTATTAAAACATGAGAATATGCTATTCAGGGTCCCCGATCAATATTACAATACAGTATGTCCTCTCTAATATTAAAACTAAAAGCATTACAAGGGAAAAACTCCCAAGTGACCAACCAAACCATAACAAAATGCTTAGTCTATTTTGGTTTTGTTTGCTTCACGTGTTAGTTTTCCTGGATATTCATATTTCAGGACACCCCATCCCTTCCTTCTCTTGCCTATAGCTGCTGCTTCAGCCCCAGCCCCACAGACCCCACCTTCAGCCACGCTCCTGGAGCCACCAGGGGACCGTGAACATATAAAATCCAAACTTATTCATACCTCACCTGCAACCAAAAATCTGCACGAAACCAATGACTGACTGGTTTAACTATGGCCAGTTAAAAATATTGCTTGAAAATTATTATTTCACACCTTTATGCTCTTTGCTGAACTCCCTCAGCCCAACACTTCAGCCAGAGAAGGAAAACAAGAGAAGTGACGTGGCTTTGGTACTTCCATCCAGGGTTGAGTGCTGCCCCGCTTGCCCCAAGCGGGGCCACCCACCTCTCCGCTTCCCCAGATGCTCGTTATCATCCACAACCACAAAACTTCTGTCTGGTACAAAACTCTGTGCATCAAAAAGCTCCTGCCTGTGCGGGGCCACCCACCTCTCCGCTTCCCCAGATGCTCGTTATCATCCACAACCACAAAACTTCTGTCTGGTACAAAACTCTGTGCATCAAAAAGCTCCTGCCTGTGCCCAGGGTCACCTCCTGGGACCCCCAGGGTCCAGCCCCGTGCAGAACAACACGCTGCTGCTGGGGACAGAGAGCACGAGCGTCCCAGGAGCAGTCACAGGCTGGCAAAGTAAAGAGCCAGAAGGAAACAAAGGAAACTACAGGACAAAATAACTTATTACAGGTGAAATCACACAAATCATTCTTTCAAGAGAAAGTATCCCGCCAAACAATCTTTCCTGTCTCATTTATTTATAGTTTCCCATTTGAGGTCTAATACTGACTTATTTTTCAATATTTTACTAGTAATGTCTGATCTGTGACTTATGCTGAACAGGCTGATATTTATTTTCTATTCCCAAGCTGTGTGTTTTAAATAAGCATTTCTCCTCGAGCACAGACAGCAAAGCAGTAATGGAAAGTAAGAGTCTAACTGATCCCAAAGACAAATGGGGTGATTTCCCCTCTGCCTCCCTCCCCACAAAGGGCGTAAAGGATTACACTTCACCGCTATTTGTTCTGCTAATAAAGAGCACATCTTCAGGAAGAATTACAGCGCTCTCACACTCCCCTCTGACTCCCACTCAACAGCCATCTATGATCTTCAATCATTACAGATCAAAAGAAATCCTGAGCCAGAGAAACCGAGTGATGCTTTTCACATTTCTAAGCTGTTTTGGAACACGCTACCAGAAACTTCCCAGCATATTTAAAGCTTAATATAAGAAGTACGAGGACATGCTCATCTGTCATTAAGACAGTGGAAATTTTCGCTGCTGGGGACAGAGAGCACGAGCGTCCCAGGAGCAGTCACAGGCTGGCAAAGTAAAGAGCCAGAAGGAAACAAAGGAAACTACAGGACAAAATAACTTATTACAGGTGAAATCACACAAATCATTCTTTCAAGAGAAAGTATCCCGCCAAACAATCTCTCCTGTCTCATTTATTTATAGTTTCCCATTTGAGGTCTAATACTGACTTATTTTTCAATATTTTACTAGTAATGTCTGATCTGTGACTTATGCTGAACAGGCTGATATTTATTTTCTATTCCCAAGCTGTGTGTTTTAAATAAGCATTTCTCCTCGAGCACAGACAGCAAAGCAGTAATGGAAAGTAAGAGTCTAACTGATCCCAAAGACAAATGGGGTGATTTCCCCTCTGCCTCCCTCCCCACAAAGGGCGTAAAGGATTACACTTCACCGCTATTTGTTCTGCTAATAAAGAGCACATCTTCAGGAAGAATTACAGCGCTCTCACACTCCCCTCTGACTCCCACTCAACAGCCATCTATGATCTTCAATCATTACAGATCAAAAGAAATCCTGAGCCCGAGAAACCGAGTGATGCTTTTCACATTTCTAAGCTGTTTTGGAACACGCTACCAGAAACTTCCCAGCATATTTAAAGCTTAATATAAGAAGTACGAGGACATTCTCATCTGTCATTAAGACAGTGGAAATTTTCTTTTCTACAGTTCAAGAATATAGCCACCAGAAAACATTTCAATGGATTTTTGTTAGAATTAAAAAATGAAGCATAAGGCTATTTGGCAAGCTTCTGGGAACCTATATCCAAAATGCTTTCTCAGCAAAGGCTCAAGATCAAAACCACAGAAGCTCTTACTGTGGGCTCTTCTCTGTAGAGTGGAATTTCCATGCAAAAAAAAAATAATACTGAATACAATTCACAAGTTTGTATTGCATTCAATTTAAAATGATTCAATTTAAAATGATGATAACTCTGGGTCAGAACCTGAAATACTTAAATTGCAAAATTCACTCAAAACGTTCTTCCTGAGAAGTAACGGTCCTGAATTCAAACCCCAAATCTATCAGAAATGGGAATAAATGCAGGGGTAGTTCTGTCTCTTCAAAAGAGAAGATGCTTATGAGAGGACTTGTCAAATATTTTTAATTCACCTTTTATTTCATTTTGAGACAAAACAGATTTGCAGAAGAGGGAGAGTATCATCACACATATCTCAAACCAAAATGAGGGCAATTTCTGCAGTTTTCTTCAGTTAGAAAAAAATAAACCAAAACATTACATTCTCTTCCTAAGAATGGTTTTGACTGAAAACCTCAAGTTTTATCATCACAGGGAGTCCAACGGATCCTATTGTAGCATACCTGGAAGTAATTCCAGCCCAGACCAATAGTGAGATAACCGCATTTCATCAGTTTCTAGAGATTTGTTACAGACTAAGTAAGAACAGGGTTAACAACTAAGAGGAAAGTCATATAACTGTTTTATCTTCTAGATTAAGTAATACCAAGAACAAATCTGTATTGTAGCATACGTAGAAGTAATTCCAGCCCAGACCAATAGTGAGATAACCGCATTTCATCAGTTTCTAGAGATTTGTTACAGACTAAGTAAGAACAGGGTTAACAACTAAGAGGAAAGTCATATAACTGTTTTATCTTCTAGATTAAGTAATACCAAGAACAAATCTGTTAATCAATTCATGATAAATTTTGCATTTTGCGGTAAGACCCTCACCTAACATTTCAGAATGGCCATTTTAAAAACCCATAAATATTTCATTTCTACACTGCAATTTGCAAGCTGCAAACTTTCTGTTTAACCATTACACAGATGAACACTCAACCGTTATAAACCTGCCTGGGTTCGTGCCAATAAGTTAAAATTGCTTCACAAACACAAGATTAAGTCAGCATTAAACATAAAATATATGCTGCTACACTATTTTACAGAGCTGAGGGTGAACTTATCAGCACTAAATCCAAATCCTGGGGCAGATTTCCAGACACAGAAGTCTTCCTGTCTCACTTGGGAATCTCCATTGCCCAGCACACTCAATTCTGCCTGCTTGTTCAGTGGGTTCATTCCCTTCCTGAAACCTTTTTTTTTTTTGGACATTTTTCCTTATCTACATTTACATCGATTTAGTACAAGCTTCTAGACCAAAAGACAAAACCAGGTAGGTGTTCCACAGATAACTCCAAAATGTTACTGGTTTGGATCCCTGCCATTGAGTGCTTCAACAAGGAGTTCTCTGAGCAGTAACAGCAATATTTAGCGACACAAAACATTGTTCTCCCTTTGGGGTTTCAGTTACAGATCGTTCTGCAACACGCAGGAAATCACATTTTTCTCTTTCCCAAGCTTTTCCAAATCACACCCATACCCAACGTTCCTTCTCCCAGCAGGGTGGGATCCAGCAGCAAGGTGGGTGCCTAACTGGTGGTGGGCTTTGCTGGGGGTGGTGGGACTCAGGACAGATCAGCTCCGGGAGGAGATGGGTGTTCTGAACCCCACAATTTCCCGCTTCAGGCTCCCAGCTGAGAAGTGCCAAGTGGCAATGCTTTGTCTGGGCACTAAGAGCACAGGCATCGGGCACAAAGCACCCCACTTGGGAATGCCAGTTTGCAAACCAGCTGGTGAAAAGGCTGAACATCCTGAATGGGGAGACAAAGCCTGACCTTCCTGGACCAGTCAACGACACAAACCCAGGGAAGAGGTTCTGGAGGGAGGACTCAGGCAGAAGGAACCCCACTTACACCATCAAGCTCTAATTTGGTTCCCTTCTACATTCATTTCCCACCACAGTGTGCAAGAAGACTGAGAATCAAGCATTACTCTCATTTTTTTTTTAATGGATCTTCCCTTTAGCAGGTCAAATTCCAAAAGAAAAGAGACATGCCAGTCCTCTGCAGCTCACCTGCAACATTTGCAAGGTAAAACATCTAGAAAAAAAGAGCTTTCAGTCTCAAGGATTTTTTTTTTTTTATGTAAAGTTTAAGAGAAATAAATTGTTAGGGGAAAAAAAAAAATCTCAGTGTGCTTCTGCACAGTGATAAAAATAGTAGAATGCAAAGAAGTACTTCAAGTTTCCATTAATAATTCAACACCTCTGCAGGTAGTCTTCAGCCATCTGTGGCCCAAAAGGTCGGTTCTTGCTGCAAGTGTTGTGACAGCACACA